GACAGGAGCCACAGTCTCCCTTGCAGCCCCCACAGGAGGCACAGCCCCCCTTGCAGCCCCCACAGGAGGCACAGCCCCCCTTGCAGCCCCCACGGGAGGCACAGCCCCCCTTGCAGCCCCCACAGGAGGCACAGCCCCCCTTGCAGCCCCCACGGGAGGCACAGCCCCCCTTGCAGCCCCCACAGGAGGCACAGCCCCCCTTGCAGCCCCCACGGGAGGCACAGCCCCCCTTGCAGCCCCCACAGGAGGCACAGCCCCCCTTGCAGCCCCCACGGGAGGCACAGCCCCCCTTGCAGCCCCCACAGGAGGCACAGCCCCCCTTGCAGCCCCCACGGGAGGCACAGCCCCCCTTGCAGCCCCCACAGGAGCCACAGCCTCCCTTAGCGCCCCCACAGCTGGAGCAGGAGCAGGCGGGCACACAGCAGCACACGGGCTTGCAGCAGCACACGGGCACACAGCAGCTGGAGCCACAGCCTCCGGAACAGCCACCGCAGGTCATGGTTCTGGTGGTTGGTTGAGGATGGAGTAGGTCAGAGGAGCAGGTGGAGAGGGAGGTGTGTGGTGTGGAGTCTCCTGAGCCCGGGGCCTTTATAGCCCTGTCCAGGGTGCCTATTAGGGCCCAGGCCTCTTCCTTATGTCTATTTTTGTACTTTCCCCAGGGAAATTGCATGTGATTCAAAAGAACACAAACACTGCCTTACCTGTGACACAGTTTTCCTTCCTTCCCAGCTGCTTGTGCTCTGGGAACTGATGGGATGAGACAACCCTCGTCATATCACTGCCACATCACTGGAGGGGTGCAGTAGAGAGGTGAATGCTCCTGTCTCCCGACTCTGAGTTCAGGCTCCGTTGTGGGTGGGCTGAGCTGATGTGAGGTCCCAGCACAAGGTTGTCTGCAGACTGCAGCTCTCAGGGGAGACCTGCACAGGTGGGTCCTCTTCCCCTTTGAAGTTCAGAGCTGCCTGTCAAGTAAATTGCATACACTGCTTAAGAGCACCCCTCATAGGAGCCTGAATTTTCCCGTTTTATCACCTCTACCTGCTTATTAATACACTGCAATCTCTGGGATGGGCAGGGTCACACACACTCCGACTCCTCATTACCTGGTGTTTGTTCAAAAATCACCTTTTCTAGCCATATGAAAACCTGTTATTTTATAATCATATATATACATATATATATAGTCATGTAAAAGTGTTTAATTGGAGCTACCCTACACAAAGGCTAATGCTTCTCCCAGGAGCCATAGGCTGCTAAATAAAAAGCCCAGTGCCAGGTGTGGGATATCTCTCCTCATGTTGTTGGTCAGATGTGACTCAGAGACTGCCCCTGCCCCCACCCTAAACAATGCAAGCTGTTAGATTCAGGAGGGCAGAAAAAGGAAGGAGTTTAAAGTTTCGAAATGAGATTCAGAGCCAGACCTGCAACAGGCGAGGAATGCGCTCCATGGATCCAAGGAGACCAGCAGAGGCTGATAAACTCTTCCTGGAGGAATGATCATCTGCAATCTGAAGAGGGAGCAGTGTGGTCTTATACAGGAACTCTTCTGCACACAGCTGCAAGAGGTAACTGTGCCAGGGTCTGGTGTCCTTAAGGGTCTCTTTTCTTCTGAAGATTATTTGTTCAGGCAGGTGGGTAAGTTATCTATAGCACTAAAGGAAACAGGTGGGCTCCACAAACAGTCTCTCAGTCCAGGGAGTGACCAGTTGATAAGGCTTGAGGGAGGCCAGGCTGCCAACTTAGGGCCAGTTGGACACTTTAAGGGTTTTATGGCTTTGCCTAATGAGGCTTGTGGCTCTTCTGCAATTCACACATTCTGTCACAAGAGCGAGGCCAGGCTGCCAACTTAGGGCCAGTTAGACACTTTAAGGGTTTTATGGCTTTGCCTAATGAGGCTTGTGGCTCTTCTGCAATTCACACATTCTGTCACAAGCTATTGTCATTGTTCTTGGTTGCAGACCCTATTGCTTAAGACGCCACACACTGTGGTCACAGAACATGGAGAAATCAAGCTGGTGCTGACCAGGAAGCTTCCTCCCTGCTGGCTAGCTTTCATAATACTGGAAAGTGCTATGCAAGCTGCTGGGGAAAAGTCATGAACAGACTTACTAAACTGGGAACCCTATGAGCTCCAACAATGACCAGCATGGCAAGGCATGCCCATGGGCACAATCATGGGACAAATGCTATGGGGGTAACCAACTGCTCTCTGTTTGGATTTAAGGTACATTCCACCTGAGTAAACACTTGCTTGGTACTGTGAATCTGATCATGAACCCATAGTTGGGGAGCTCAGAGTCCCTGGGAAGACCCTACTGCTATTATTCTACTGAATGGACATGGTATCAAACTGTCCTCTAAATTCATATCTCTTTACTGATAGATAAGTGAAGTTATCATACATCATCAGATAAGTTTCTTTGTGCAATGGATAGTGGTTAGTATAGAAACTTAAAACTGGTTAAAGTACAGAGAATAAGTGTCAGTGGAATGTTCAGTCACAATGGGACATCTAAATCACTGCTTTCTAAGGCTTAGGGACCATTTCAGAAGAGGGGTGGAAAGACTATAAAAGTCAGAGATTGGGGTGAACCAGAGAAAAATAGTCTCATCTGGACATGACAGGACCGTTGTACTCAGGAACTCAGCAGCTGTAGTTGCCTGCACAAGATCAAGCCTGTCAAGACTCCAGCATGTTGGGGAAAGGGGTTCGGAAAGTGCCCACTCTGAACTGAGGAACTTTGGACAGTTGCTGACTTCAGGGGGAGGACGCATCAGTTTTCTTTAAGGGTGTGGCCCCTGGTAGGTAGACTACTATGCTCTACTGGATGGCCCACACCCAAGAGTATATGGGCAGCACAAGTTGGAGTTGATGGGTTATTTAAAATACAAAAATCAAAAGAGGACAAGAAGTTTGGGGGTAGGTTAGTAGAAGTGGATCTGGGAGAAGTTAAGGGGAGCAGTGGGGGTGAATATGATTAGAATGCATTATATGAAATGCATGAAAATTCAATAAAAATGAACATTGAGAAGAAAAAGGTAAAAAATAAAAGCATTCTTCCTGGAGAGAAAGAAGTTGAATTTCTTTTTTGTTTAAAGTTTAATTTATTTTACTTATATGTGTGTATCAGTCTGTGTTTGTGTGTGTGTGTGTGTGTGTGTGTGTGTGTGTGTGCGTGCTC